ATCAAGCTTCCAGGTAATTTGAATAAACCTGTATTAAGGAAAATGTTTATTCTAAAGTAAATTATAAAAGAAAATGGGCAACATGCCAGCCAAATATGGGTAAAAAGAACTTCGATATAACAAGACTGCAAGGCTGGTCACAGAGTTTATTTTATTTTTTGAACGTGTGAAAAAAAATACTCGATTTTGTTCAGAACTGTGATGTACATTTTTGTAAGCACATATCCAAATCTGGATCTTCAGCCTTCAATTTATTTAGTCTTTTCTAAAAAAAATTAAAGAGGTCATGTTTTCAGGAACATTTCTAGCTAACAGGCAATGCACTCAAGGATGAATAAACAGATAGAAGTGTGTTTTGTAAAGAACCAAAAATAAGATATTTACACATTCCACCTCCCAAATAACAACTGAAAGATAATTACAGATTTAGCCAACACAGTAGGGATGTTTAGTTTTCTTGATAACCACACAATTAGACCAGCTATATTAGATGTTTAATACATTACATAACATTGAGCTTTATCTTTATAAAGTATAACGTTTGTCTTTGATTTGGATAGAGTAGTGAATGCTTTTTTTTTCTATTCCTATCTATATGGGGCCCCATTGGGGAGATTCCCTCCCATTAATTTTGTTGATCCCCAATGTCCCTGCAAATGAAAAAGTAAATCCAAAATTTGGTTGGCACCAGAGCAGGGATAGAAGAAATCTTCCAACTGGGATAACTGTTCCCATGAAAACTGTTTATGAAAGAATTTCCCTCATGTTGGAAATACATCCTTCCACTGCCTGTTGTAGATACAAGACTGGAAGTGAAGGGGATTTCCCCTAATGAGAGAGTGGGAAGGGGGGGTTGAAAATGCTTTATTTTTTTTCTATCTCGATCAAAAAAAAAAGGCTGTAGATATTCTTTAAAATTAATATACAGACCTATGCATCATGATTAGGTTTAAAAACAATGTATTTTTAAATAGCAATACCTAGAAATCAAAGATGGCACACGGTCAAAAAGGGAAGGTTGAATGCATTAGCCTAGTGTACCTCAGACCATGATAGGAACAGTTCAACAAGTTGCCACCTAATACTGCTCTAGTATTGTCATTCTAGAAGGCAAAACAAAACCCAACTGAAGCACTTTACAATACAAAAAATTCCTTCTCAATTCCATCAGCAACAGTCCGCTTTGTTTCTTGGGTCAACCACTCCACAGATGAATCACATTATTACTAAAAAACGTGATGCATAGCAATTCCCAGCTGCCATTTTGACAGCCAGTAATTACCAGTAACAGCAGTCAGGTGACCAGTGGCTGGGGAAGAGCAGCATGACATAGGACAGTGGTTCTCAACTTAAGTAAAAACAAAGCCTGGAAATTTTTTCCCAATACCTTAATTGCCCCCGTTAACGCCTGTGTGGTGCATTTCGACACATTGTTTGGTAATGTATAATATGTATTCTTAAAATTGTATTGCACAAGTATAAACTTTAGCCTGCCTAGTGCCTTCTACATATGCCTGTTGATCTACCTTGCAGTCATGTAATCATTATTTATTTGTTTGTCATTCAACGTAGGTCTCCTCCAATCACCCATGCAGCCGTTGACTTCCCCAGTCTCTGCGATGTTTTTGTAATCAGTGTGGTTGCTCTGCAGCGACAGATGGAAAAGGGACACTGGTGCCTTCCAAGAGTCCAAAACCCAGCTATAGACACATTGCAAGCACACACCCTGAGCAAAGGGGTTCGCTCATCTACTGACTCTTCAACAGCCCTCACCCCTGCACTACCTGCAACCCTCTTCTAACTCTGATAACGTCTGTATCCCCTGCAACCCGCTTCAAACACCTCTAACCACTGAATCCTTTCACTCCCTTCCAACACTGCCCACCTCTGCTCCCCCTGCAACTCTATTCCAACACTGCTCACTTCTGCATAATTTCCCCACAGTCTAACACTGCTCACTCCTATACCCCTTGTAACCCTCACCAACACTGCTCACTTTTTCACCCCTTGGCACCCTCCTTCAACACTGTTCCCCTCTGTAGCCCTGGCATACCTCTTCCAACACTGCTCACTTCTACACCCTTTTAGACCCCCTTCCAACACAGCTCACCTCAGCATTTCCTGCCACACTCTTCCACCAGTGCCCACCTGTGCATCCCCCGCAGCTCTTTCCCAGCACTGCTTACTCGTGTATCCCCTGGCACCCTCTTCAAACACTGTTTACTTCTGCATCCCCTGCCAATCTCTTTTTCCAGAGCACCTCAACACAAAGATACTTCAACTAAATTATTGGTCTGTTGTGGTGTGTTGGGGGAGTTCATTGGGGTGCCATCAAAACCACCAGGTGAAAGGTATAAATCCAGCCTGAATGTGGCTGTCTTGATTAACTCTACATTTCACACAACACAGCAGTATAGCATCACTTTAGCTCAATAGCTAAATGTAGCTCAACAGGCCTCATACACAAATGAAAGACACTCAATTCCTTTGGCTTTTCGAACATTTATTAGCATTATTTATTCTTTTATTTAAACAAAACATGAAAGCTGTATTAGAAAATCACTCGCCAGGATGCAGATGTTTGTGCGGTACCCAGAGGGGCTGTACATACCTGCTTCCTTCATGGTGGACAAAAAAAGCACCATTCCTTAACTGGGTCATAAAAAGGAGTTTAGATTATCTATACATGTTTCTGTGCAAGCACTGTAATTCAGATGCATAAAAAAGTAGCAATATTATTTTCAAGAGAAAGCTTTTTGTATTTTTTTCAGTGAATGAACTGATTCTACAAAGATTCTAAAATACAGAAAATCAAAAGTTATAAACACATTGTCACATGACTTTCAAATCATCAAAATGATGTAAAATAAGGTTCAGAAGATCTGACAATCTGGAAGAAAACTGCATTATTATTATTTTATACTGAACAGATGGTAGAGACAAATGGTTTCCCTTTATAGGTCCAGTCAAAACTGATATTCTACATTTGGGAAGATGTGGATTTGTTGAATTACACATTGGCATTTTAATTTTTTCTAAGACCCGAGGAGCTGAGGCCCCGGACTGCTTTTACAACGGCACAAAGCTGAGGAACTCTAGAGGGGAAACCTCAGCCCCAGAAAAAGACCAGATGGCTCATCAAAAACTGTGCAATCACACATGAAATATCAGTTTTAGCTGGACGCATCTTTCAGCGGGGTATTCTAAAAAGAGGGATTTGGATAAATTGCACTTAATCAGAAGTGGGCCAACTTCAAAGCAGATGAAGGATAAGCACTTATGATGTGATAATAGTGGTTTCAAATCTCACAGCTAGGATCTCAAGAAAAACTCTGATTTTACAGCCATTTGTGGAGCTAATGTTATACAAGCTGATGCCCTTGATTACAAGACTTGCTATGCTTTTTCAAGAGCAGCATCTACAGCAAACTTTTGATGAGCATAGGCTCTTAAAGACTTCAAGAAATCTGCTCAAAACTTGCTGAAGTTTCCCGTATACACGTTGAAACATGCCTTTCCACATCCTAACTGTATGACAGATTTTGCTAATCACTAATTTACCTGTGTTCATACTGAGCGACAGTTGTTTACCGATGAACAGACTGAATTTCAGCATAGAAAGAATATTTTTATCATTCCCTTAATTAGAGCAACAGATTGGCTATGGTTTCATCCAGTAAAGAAGCCCAAGCCTATTTGTTTTAGTCCCACTTGCAATGTTCCCTGATACTCTAAGCATTTGCCTAGCTCAAATAAAACGGCATTATCTAACTAAACCCATTTCTTTGATTGAAGCTTGTTCCCAGCAATGCAAAAGCAACATACTGAGAAAATCTGACTTCTAGCAGCTTCCCTTAGTGACTTACTTTCTGTATTAGCTAAAAAGGAGTTCCTGGTGGGATGTTTTACACTATACTATGAACTGCTTTTAGATCCGGGTCAACTTTTACCTTGTGCTGTGAGCAGCATAATTCTCAACTAGGTCTTATCTAGCCCACATGGACCTTCCAAACATGGTTGTTCATTAACTGCTGTTTTACCATGCACATGCAGCTTCTAAACTGCCCAGGAATGGAGAGATTTAATTTATCCCTGTGTCACAAAAGGCCATCCCAAATGCAAAATGACCTTATGTATGAAATCTAAATTAATCTTGAGTAACACACAGCTGCTATAACACAATTTTAAGATCCAATGATAAAGCTAGCCATTTTAAGTGCTTCATATATGCAGAAGTGACGTGCCTTAGATGTTAGCAGCCAGGTAAGGGAAGTGCAATAGGTGAGTCTTACCTGTAGCAAAACACACTCTGGGATCTGGTCTGCAAACATACAGCGTCATATGCAGATCACGTCACGTAAAAGGTCAGAAAACTGATCATGTATCATATACAGTCTTACAATGTACAATATTCATAAGCATCACAGCTAAATGCAAATCCTGAGGGGTGAAAAGGCAGCTAGGCGCTTTTAACATATTAACAACAAATAAAAAAAAAAAAAAAAAAAAAAAGAAATCTGTCCAGTGTTAAAATGTGATCAATGGTAACAAAAGTACTGCTGTGTGTCAGCAAAAAAAAAAAAAAAAAAATCCCACTTTCCATAGTGACTATGGCTATATTCATTATTTACATGGCAAATAAATTCACACTCCCAATGAATTTGTGCTGTGGCCATAAACTGCATATAATCTTCAAGACAATTTAACAGGCAATTTAAAAACACACAGTGGTTTCAGAAATTGCTTTGCTACTGTAGCCACGCAAGGCACAATCCTGCCCTGCATAGTGACAGTGTGACAATCACAGCTTCAGAATAAATACAGTCTCTCCTCAAACAGTCACTCAGTCTACAGGATTTTTGTGTTTTGTTTGCCCTGAGCTATCGAGAAGCCTCCCGTAGTCCATACAGCATTGCAAAATGCCTGTCTCCTTCTGTGCTTAAGCATTAGATCACAAGAGCTTTAATGTGAAATTAGCTTAGTCGTCTGATCTCTGATCTCTACAACCACGTCTTGAGGCTCTCCAGGTTGTTGTCAAACCACTGAATATTCAGTTTGATGCTTTCAATGGCCTCCTTAACACACCACATGTCTCTGCTAGCGCTCTTTTTCGAGTTGAAGAACGTGACAACCTGAAATTACAAAATAATTCATGCATAATATTAATATGTGAAATAAAGAACACATCCTCTGTAATGTCCCTCACATCCTCCAGCGATGATATATTCTATTATAGAATGTTTCATAGTTGCCCTCACAGTTTTGCAAATATATATTCTTACAATTCAATACACTATGCGGCCTCATCGACACACACGCCTATGCCTTATACTGGTTCTGTGCCGACTCTCATTGGTTCTCCCATCTGTTTACAGTAAAAGGGCTTCCCAAAGACACAAACTCTTCGATAACAGCAAGATTTGCACACCAGCACATAAACCTCACTACCTAGTATCCAGGCCATCAGTGAGATTTGCATTCCAGCATACGTCAATTACTCATTATGCATGGTGCCAAAGAAATCTGCATTCTAGCAAATACACACCTTTACTCACCAGTATCTATGGCACCAGTTAGTTCTGCACTCCATTATACACACACATATCACACCCTAGTATTCATAGAACCAGTGAAATCCACACTCCGGCATACACAGCTCACTCCCCAGAATTCATGACACCAGTGAGATCTTTACCAAAGCATACACACTCCTCAGTCCCCATATCTATAGCAATAGTGAGATCCCCTTTCCAGGATACATTGCCTACTCTCCAGTATCCATAGCACCACAGAACTGCACTCTAGAACACACACTTCCCAATATTCATATCAGTGAGATCTGCACTCCACCATACAAACTACTCACTTCTCAGTATTCATCACACCAATGTGTTATGCACACCAGTACAATAGCCTCCCACATCTCAAACTACAGTGTTTATTAACACCAGTGAAATGGCTCATCTCCCTCTATTACACACAGTGTCAGTGTCTAATGCACCTCTATTTACAGACAGTGCCTCATACCTTTCTATTGCACACAGGGTCGCCAACTTCTGTACAACATGAAGTTCAGTAGACCCTTAAATTATATAGTTTTTAGTTACTCTAAAGGTTTTGCAATCAGATTGTGTTAGGCTACTTTCACATTGATCCATAGCAAAATGCGCTAAAAACTCATATGCATTTTTGCCACATTTTTACTGTGTTTACAGTGCGTTTTACACAGACATGTGATTAAAAAAATCATCAAAATGCACTGCAGGTGCGTTATTTATGTGTTTTGCCATGTTTTTCATGCTTTTTAGTAGGGAGGTGCATTTTTTTTTCACTGCACCAAACCAACCATGTGCTGTACTGTACTCCATGACAATGACTTTACAAGGCAAGTCAAAATTCCTATTATCCTGATTGTACAGTATACAGTAAAGGACACAGGCTGGGTTTTCATAGACCCTTGGATATCCCCAAGCAATGAAACAGAAGGGAGGGCACCTTCTGGCCAAAGCTTTCATCATGTGAGGACTAATCACTTACCTTATAGAACCTGGAAAATTAGTGAACAGAAGACAAGGTGGCAGCCTTGGAAGCAGATACGTGATGCTGAAAAGTCCAAGAGAAACCAAAATACTTTTTCTGGTGGAATGAGCTGTGATAGGGAGGGGGGGGGGGGGCTTTTCTTAAGGGTGTCAGCTCTATAAATGAGTGTTCTGATCCACCTGGTAATGGTGGAGAGAGAGGCAGGATGTCTCTTTTCAAGGGCCTGAGAAGGGGGACAAAAATGGACTATAAAAGGAAAAATAGAGGCTGTGGCTGCAAGGTAGATGTTGGTAGTTCTGACAACATCTAGTCAGTGCAAGAAAATTACTTTGGGATGTGTTGGGGTGGGCCACATAGTGGGAAAGACAATACCCTTATAGAGGTGGAAGAAAGAGACCACCTTGGGTAGAAAAGAAGGTCTTGGTCTCCGGACCACCTTGTCCCTGTGCACTATAAGAAATAAGAAAAAATACTACTTAGAAGAAAGGGCTGCTAGCTCAAAAACCTACTGAACAAACATAATGACAAGGGGAAAAAAATGTACATATGAGGTCTTTCAAAGGGATATCTCGAATCAGCTAAAATGGTGGTCTCTAGTGCACCATAAGCACAAAGTTCAGATCCTAAAGGAACACAGTCGGTCCAATTGGGAAACTTACATGAGTAACCTTTTCCTAATCAACACCAAAAAGGTATAGATTAGGAACTGTGAAGCAAGAGGTTTCTAGAAAGACAGATCATAGAAACCAGTCCATTAAGGGTGTTCAAGGCTAAGTGCTGGTTGGGACTAGATTGTTGCTTGTATCTTGGCCTTTTTTAAGAGTATTCGCTGTGCCATTGTGACAAAAGAAGTCTTAAATCTTAGTTTTGAGTTTAATGCCTGTAGACAGTGAAGAGGCCCTTTTCGCTGAGTAGAGATAGTAGCCATAGACTTTGACTTAATCAAGTGATTTGCTACAAAGGCATTCACCATGAAAGGTCATGCGTAAGAGGCGTTCAAACAGTCTCAGCAGACCAAGCTTTTAGCCACAAAACCCTGTGCATATGCACAGAAATGAGACATTCTGAGACTTGGCGAATTATTCTATAGAGCATATACACAAAACAATAAGACTGGGGCCATCAGCTGCAATTGTTCAAAGAAAATGGGGTACTCAAATACATATTCTTGTTCTCTATTCAACGGTTTTACCCAACTAGCTAAAGGCCGGAAAATGGATATAGGAACAACTGCCAGCTGCAGGGAAAGACCTACAAGTGCAAAGGAGGCCTTTAAGATGGCTTTCAAACCTTTATCAACAGAATCCTTGAAAGAGGAAACATCTTCAATAAGAACTGAAAGATATTTATTGAGGTCTGAAATTCCAGGGTCTACTACTGGAACAGTCCATTTTTCCATGACTTCTATGTCCATAGAATACATTTCAGCAAAATACTTTGGGGGTTGGCCCTTTACTGAATGCACATTCACTCCTCTAATGTGTGCATTCATTTTGTACATGGATAGGAAAAGTCTTTTTTGGACTAGCCAGCCTATTAACGCTCATATGGGCTTGTTTTGGCTGTGAAGAATCAGGTGCTGATAGACAAAGACTAGTCTGCACCACATAAATCAGCGTATCAACAGAGAACAGCATTTGCCAAAAAGACATAATTTGTGACTCCTAGAATGCAGGGGTTGCAAAATCCTTCTTTTGAAGCTTCTGCTACAATGTGATTGTCTCCATCACTTTACACCATTTCTCCCTCAAAGAGGTTTGGGTGTTTAATTTCTGATTCTAGAAAGGAGTCAGGGAGGATGGAAGAAGTGCGGTTTTGACCTCTGGAAGCCAAAGTTTTAGAAGGGCAAAAGATTTCCAAAGAATCCAGACACAGCGACAGAGAAATCTGCTTTAGTCAAACAGGCCATGTGTTGCGTGCCTCAGAGGGAGCTAGTGTCAGAGGAAAGGAATGCTGTTCATAACAGGACATTGCTCCAGGACAAGAGAACACCTATCACTTCAAGCGGTGTTCTCTGCTTCATGTTGGCCATCAGCAGAGTTCATGTTGTGTGGATCTTCTGTGCCAGCTGCCATTATCCAGGAGTTGATGGTTTCTTGGCTGCATTTCTGTAGCCAAAGGCAGTAGGAAGTGCAGCAATGTGTTGTACATGTTTTTTGGCAAATATGGTGAGCAGAAATAGTCAGTTGGAAGGTGTGTTGAAATTATGTATCCCTCCAAGAAACTATGTCCCATGGAAAAGACCACCAATTTCATCTATAGTGCCAGAGACAAGTACACAGGGGATTAACACAATAATGTGAGTAATTTCCCATACCTGGACATGGCTTTGGGTAGGAACCAGTCTACAATGCATGGAAACCATATCTTGCCTTACTCATGTTGTATTTGTTCAGGGTTCAGACTTTGCCCATCATTTTAGGCACACTCCCAATAGCTTTTTAGGTTTGAGAACCACAGATATGAACCATGATCCTGGAACTGTATTGCATCCTGCAGCTAACTGCAATCATTGCAACAACATGCCAAGGTGAGCACCTAACGTAGCATCAAGTGCCTGAAGAAAACATTACAGACCGGCCCTGTAGCAATTGTGCATAAAGAGATGGACGCGGTCATCCATCTTGTTAAGAATCTTCCATTTTGTATCATTTCTACTCCAAAATCAGCTTTCCTCATCCCCCCTCCCTCTCTGTTGAGTGATGTGGTCTGTTTGATGCAGATTACAGGCAGCAAACTCATAGGGAGGGAGTCATGGTTATAAATCCCACAACTAGCTGGTGCCCTTCTGTCTGCGAGACTCTTGCTGGAGAAGGGATTGTGAAGCCATAAACCGAGCCCTCACTGAGCTTCAAAAGACATTCCAGGGAGTCGTAAAACAGACTTACATTTTAAAACCCAGTTTTCCATATAATTTTATATCTCCTAATAGGAAATAATTACACAAACATGGAGAACATATATGGATGGCTTGCTCTAATACAAATCGCCTGATACATTATACCCCTATCTGACATATACAGGAAAGCAGAAAATTATACCTCCTTAACCATGCAAGCAGGTATGTCATATTTCATATCTAACCATTCAGCAGATGACTCTGGGTATTAATCTACTCGTGGACAGAATGTTATATGTACTTAGGAAATGTTATTGGCCATAATATAATTTGTGAAGGCTTTGGTCATAGCCTGAGCTCCCCGCCTACACAACCCCCTCCCCAAATGAGGCGATTGGTTCTCTGCTTCAGGGAGACACCCTGTGGAGTTCCTAGAAAAAGCTAAGCTAAGTTGAAGAATCTCCCTTTTAACATCGGAACTAACTTTGGGAGATAAGACCCTTTTGGCTCTGAAATCTGCTTAACCCAAGGCTGACGGCAAGTACTTTATCCCTTTGCTGTTCTATTGTTCTCTGTGTGTGTGTATATATATATATATATATATATTTTGACCTTTTAGTAATAAAACTTACTTTCTGAAAGTGTTGAACTGTTTCTAAAGCTCTTTAATGCAAACTAAGCACCCCTGCCTCTGAAGAGCGCTACTGTGTGTGTGTTTTAAACTTCAGTGTATCTCTGCCTGCAGTGACAGTGGTGTACCGACGATTATTCAACCATCAGCGTTTCCGCTTTCTTTGTATAAAAAGGAGGTGGTGGCAGTGTGATGGGTTAATTGCGTAATTAACCTGACCCAGTAACAATCGCTCCCAGGCTGCTGGCACACAGGTTGTGGTCCATTAGCTAGAAAATCTTTGTGCAGGGTGCAGCTGGGCGTGGCATTGTTATGCACGTGACAGCTTGGTTTTAGATTGGCTAGTCCTTCGGTCACAAGTTTGGTGAGAAGGGCTGAGGTCTGACACCGCGATCGTCACAGGCCCCACACAGGGTGGGGTCTGAGGGTGACCGATCTGGTAACTGCTAGACAATAAAGTAGTCAAATCTTGATAGAAGTGTCTGAAGATAAAAAGGAATCTATAAAAGGTAAAACATTCCAGAAGAAAAGGAGGCCCATTCCTTAACCCCTTCACGCCTAAGGGTAAAACAAATCTAAAGGCCTAAGCACAATTCTGCAACGTTGACATGTGATAGCAAAACCGTACATATCATCACAACTACTTTGCACATCCAGGTGGATTATACCTTGATTTTTTCAGGACAAATTGGGCTTTCATTTGGTGGTAAATGGTAATGGATATCTCCTGATTTTTTTTTTTATTATCAAAGGAAAACTGGCCCAAAATAGTAAAAAAAATCCTTTTTTTTTTATTTAGCTATGTGTTTCTTGTTATGACCATAACCTACCACCAAAGAGCAACCTAAAATAAATTCTCCAGCTCTTGACGATCGCAGCGATACCATATATGTGTATGTTATTTGTTGTTTGTACCCGTAGTACAGCCCAGAAACCATAGTGCGCATTTTGTTTTTGTCTTTTTTTTTTTTTTTTTTTTTACCTAAAACACACTAACACTAACTGACAGATACCAATTTTTTTTTAAATCTTGACCTTTGACCCTGACCTTTGACCTTAACCCTGACCTAAACACTAACCCTGGCACTGAACTAGATCAAACTTTGATCTAGGTATTTTTTTTTTTTATTTTTTTTTTTAATATTTATTTATCTTTTATTTTTTTTACAAACTTTTTTTTTTCTTCTCTCTGACAGGAGTTCGAGAGATACAATGTATCTCTCTTCTCCATTCATAGAGAGAGAGAGAAAAAAAACAAGGGGGTCAGGCTGCACAGTGACTGATCACTGTGATGGCAAATCAGAGGCTATCACAGCGATCATGTGACCCGGGACCGGGAGTCCCGGGTCCCGATCGTTAGAACGGGACCCGGTGCTCTCAGTGACACCGCGGTCTCGGTGCTGGGAGCGCGCTGAGGGGCGCGCTCCCAACACAAAGACAGGTACGCAAATATGCGGCCCCACGGAAAAAAGCCCAGGTCCGTGAGGCCGCATATTTGTGTTACGCGGCGTCAAGGGGTTAAAAGACACTAGCAAAAACCTGAAGCCTCAAGTAGTGGGCGGGTTTATACAAGTCCCTGGGGGTAGCTTCAGCAATGTTTTTGCCAGTTTCCAATCACCTGAAGGTAGCCTGCATATAACCCATAGTCTATGACTAGAATTCCTGTATCCTGCTGTGTGCAATTAAAGAATACGTAAACCCAATATTTCATATACCTGATATGTGCCTGCTGTACCATGTACATGTTATCCTGTTCTCTGTATTGCTTCCTTTGTGTGAAATATCTGGTGTTCTTGCCAGTCCCTCTACTTTCCTATTGAAAATTGACTACACTTAGCATGTGAGCAAAGTGTGGTCAGCTCTCTAGCTACGCTGGAAACTCTGCGTGCTCCCCAACGATCAGTCTTTTGCTGGCCCCTCCCCCCAGCCATATACTGGGAAGATCTGTGTAATGCTGTTTCTCTATCCCCAGATTTTATGTACCTGAAAACAGAGGGAATGTGATGACCTATCAAAAGGGGAAAAAAAAAAGAAAAAAAAAAAAAAAAAAAGGTGTTTAGAATGTTTTTTATACCTATACACAAATGTTTTTTTTCAAGGTGAGGATTTACAATCACTTTAAGATAGGGATTTTTTTTTTTTCCCTCAAGGTCATTGCCTATAGATTTTGTTTCTGTATAATACAAAATGTCTTTCAACAATGACAAAAATTACTTACCTCATTTAAATACACCTCTGTTGCAAACTGTGAAGTGGTCTTGGTGACAATGGTCTGTATGGGGAATGATCCTGGGGGGAATCTATGAGAAAATCAGATTAAGGCTTGTTTTATTAAAGACCATAATGCATAAGTAACACAACTATGGGCTAATAGAAACGTAAATGTGTTAATGTAAAACAATGTTACCTTCAATTAAAAGTGAACACAGTGGAACTCATTGGTCTGATTGGGACCCAACCATGCTGTATCACAAAACAGTCAGCATTTCTCACTAAGCTCATGTAAATAAAATCAATAAACAGGAGCCAAGTTATTTATTTGCAGCATTTGTTGCACTGAAATACCATTGTATTGTAGGTACAACTATAACAGATTTTGGACAGCAGGTTTAGGTGCAGAAAACGTATCAAATTTAATCACATCACAGAACACAAGAGCTGGGGGGAAGTTTAATAGATAATATAGAGTACACACACACACACGGAAATTGGTATTTGATCCCCTGTTGATTTTGAATGTTTGCCCACTCACAAAGAAATGACCAGTCTAAAAATCAAATGGTAAGTGTATTGTAACACTGAGAGACAGAATAGCAACAAAAAACCCAAGGAAATGCATGTCTAACAAATTATGCACTGATTTGCATGTTCATGAGGGAAATAAGTATTTGATCCCCTATCATTCAGGAGGATTTCTGGCTACCAGGTGTTTTTCATACAGGTAACGAGCTGATATTAGAGGAAGTCTCTTAAAGGGAGTGCTGCTAATCTCATTTTGTTACCTGTATAAAAGACACCTGTCCGCAGGAGCAATCAAATAATCATATTCTAAACTCTCCACCATGGCAAAGGCCAAAGAGCTATCCAAGGATGTCAGGGACAAGATTGTAGACCTACACAAGGCTGGATTGGGCTACAAAACTAAAGCAGCTTGGTGAGAAGGTGATAACAGCTGGTGAAATCGTTCGCAAATGGAAGAAAAACAAAACAACTGGCAGTCTCCCTAGGTCTGGTGTACCATGCAAGATGTCACCTCGTGGAGTGTCAATGATCATAAACAGTGAGGAATCATCCCAGAACTACACGTGAGGATCTTGTCAATCATCTTCAGGCAGCTGGCACCACAGTCACCAAGAAAACAATTGGTAACACACTACGCCAACAAGGATTGAAATCCTGCAGTGCCGTAAGGTCCTTCTGCTCAAGAAAACACATGTCCAGGCTCCTCTGACGTTTCCCACTGAACATCTGAATGATGCAGAGGAGGACTGGTTGAAAGTGTTGTGGTCAAATGAGACCAAAATCAAGCTCTTTGGCATCAACCTAACTCGCCGTGTTTGGAGGAGGAGGAATGCTGCCTATGACCCCAAGAAAACCATCCCACAACTGTCAAACGTGGTGAAAACATTCTGCTTTGGGGGTGTTTTTCTGCTAAGGGGCCAGGACAATTGCACCGCATCAAAGGGACAATGGATGGGGCAATCTACTGTCAAGTCTTGGGTGAGAACCTTCTTCCGTCAGCCAGGGCATTGAAAATGGGTCATGGATGGGTGTTCCAGCATGACAATAACCCAAAACACATGGCCAAGGCAACAAAGGAGTGGCTCAAGAAGAAGCACATTAAGGTCCTGAAGTGGCCTAGCCAGTCTCCAGACCTTAATCCGATTGAAAATCTGTGGAGGGAGCTGAAAGGTCGAGTTGCCAAATGTAAGCCACCAAACCTTAATGACTTGGAGAGGATCTGCCAAGAGGAGTGAGCCAAAATCCCTCCTGAGATGTGTACAAACCTGGTGGCCAACTACAGGAAACGTCTGACCTCTGTGATTGCCAACAAGGGATTTGCCACCAAGTACTAAGTCATGTTTTGTGAAGGGGATCAAATACTTATTTCCCTCATGAACATGCAAATCAGTGCATAATTTGTTAGCCATGCAGTTTTTTTGAATTTTTGTTGCTATTCTCTCTCAATGTTTGGGGGGTGTGTTTCTGTGTGCGTGTGGCAAACATTCAAAATCATCAGGAGATCAAATACTTATTTCCTTCACTGTGTGTGTGTGTATATATATATATAATATATATATGTGTGTGTGTGTGTTTTATATCTACTATAATGAGTGGTTCCAGACGGCACACAATTTTTACTTTAGAATATCCTTAAGCAAAGCACTGAGCATCTCATACAGATCATACAACAGTTTACTTAAATGCATGTTCCCCCTTCACTCCCTGCTGCCTATCATTTGACTCACCAGATTTTTTTTTTTTTTTTTTTTTTCCAGAAAATGAAAACAAGAAGCCCTGTGCAAGCTCCAAGTCACTCTGGTCAGAACTTACAAAAGGGCTAAACACTCTTACCCTGCAGCGACAGGATACCCCTTGGGCCTGGCTATTGGCTGCTCAGGGTCTCAGTGCAGCAGTGTCTGAGGAAGGGAAGAGAGTCGCATGTTCACCATAGTGGAGAATACCATGTGTTTCTTTTTTCTCTCTCTTCTATCTGCTTTTTAAGCAATGTCCAGATCTATGTGAAAGAGGTAGGCAGTATTTTCCTTTAATGGTAAATTATCTGCAGCTGGACAGAAATGTTAAATGCCCATTGCCTACTATGTATGGCAAGGCAGGTCAATAGACACACTGCACATAGCAAGCACTAGGCACATGAAAAATGTTTCTACTCGTACAATTAAAGTAAGGAAATGCTTATTTTGCATCGTTCCCATACTTTTATTGTAGTGGAGCATACATGTCTTTTTATTATTATTATTGGTTCATAGAAAGCTTTGGAAGAATTTACCAGGCATGATCTCAAAGCTTGAGACCCACTGTTGTAGCGGGTGAAATAATCTACATATATGTATTTCAACGGTGTATTTAGTGTATTCAGCTATTTGGCAGATGACCTCTTTAATGTATATCCAGCAACTAGGCAAATTCTTTTATTTTTTATTTTTTTATTAAACATCTGTAGCGGGGGTAAGAAACCTGTAGATTGTGATCTACCAATAGATCATGGACAGGTAACTGGTAGATTGCGGTCTGGGCTTGCTGACCTGCCATCCCAGAGGATCAAACAGAGTGCAATGCAGAGGGACCATTTGTAAATGTTGAGCTGTATAGGGAGCAAGAGCCTCATAATCCGAAGCCTTCTCTGTAGTGCTGGCTCCTGACCCATGCGGAGCGATTCCGACTGCACTCCACCTCTTATCTCGGGTTAGCAGTCTCCAGAGTGATGCCAGCAGCAGGAAAGAAGAGATCTTCGGGTCAGTGTGAAGCAATACCCTGGACATAATAGTATAGGCCTGCTTTCACATGGACGTGCTGCGGTTTACCCAAATCGTGGGTGCAGTGTACCTGCAGCTTTCCTGGGGGTTGACTGTGCTTATCCATACACCTCTATTATATTCTGCAGGTTTGGTGCGCTTTCTGAAAGCGCACCAAAACTCCTGAATACAGAAATTTTGGTGTGCTTTCAGAAAGTGCACCAGATCTGCAAGATACAGTAGAAGTCTAAAGCAAAGCGCAGATAACCCAGGAAAGTTGCAGATGCACTGCGCTGCACCCGTGGTGCAGATGAATTGCAGCACATCCCCCTTATAGGGGGCTGAGAACAAGGGTTTATTTACATTTGCAGTTTAGGGGGTGGTAAAACCCCATAGTTCATGTGTTTTTACCACCCCCTCCCTAACCGCACCCCTTTAAGCTGTAATGGTCAGGAGTGTACACGTCAGTTGCAGCAGGAGCTATATGCCCTGTGTAGCACCCAACAAGCATGACCCATTCAAGTGAATGAGGCTGCTCCGCAAGTACCATGCAACCTTGTGCAGTTAGTTGAATAGATTTTGATTGGCAGGTGGTGGTATCCACCAATAGCAACAGGGGTTTTAATTCCTGCTGTGGCACATGTACACCTTTCGGCTTCTGCCTCAACTTAAATGCACGGTTTTTAGAAAACCCCCAACTTTGCATTCTGCAGCGGCACCCTTAAGGCTCATTCACACGTAACTAAGGGCTCATTCACAAGTGAAGCAGGCACTGCTGCTCCTCTGAAAAGCGATCAGTGTTTTTGACAGGTGGTGATGAAGATATGTTTTCCCCTCACCACCTAATTTAAACCCATGATTGCCGTGCAACGCACACGATTGCAACTCAGTAGTACAGCAATTAGAGTTTTAAATCAGGTATGAGGAAGTGACACTGGGCGACACTGTGCCCGGTGATCTTTGACTTCTCCCATGTTGTTCAAGTAGATCTCCATCTCTTTAACCCCTTCAAGCTTAAGGGTAAAACAAATCCTAATGCCCAAGTACAATTCTGCAACGTTGACATGTGTTAGTAAAACCGTACATATCATCACAACTACTTTGTACATCCAGGTGGTTTATACCTTTTATGTTTTTCAGGACAAATTGGCCTTTCATTTGGTGGTAAATGGTAATGGATATCTCCTGATTTTTTTTATCATCAAATGAAAACTTGCCCAAAATAGTAAAAAAAAAATTAAATATTTGTTTTTTTAATTTAGCGGTGTTTCTTGTTACTACCAAAACCTATCACCAAAGAGCAACCCAAAATAAATTTTCCAGCTCTTGACGATAGCGCGATACCATATATGTGTATGTTGTTTGTACCCATAGTACAGCCCAGAAACAATAGTGCGCATTTTGTGTGGTTTTTTTTTTTTTTTTTTTTTACTTAAAAACACACTGCACTGACACTGATACCAATTAAAAAAAAAATCCTGGCCTTTGGCCCTGACCCAAACACTTACCCTGGCACTGAACTAGATCAAAACCTTGATCTAGGTATTTTTTTTTTTATTTTTAAATATTTATCTTTTTTTTTTTTTTTTTTTTTTTTTTAACAAACTTTTTCCTCTATGCCAGGAGTTAGAGAGATACAATGTATTGCTCTCCTCCATTCACAGAGAAAAATGAAAAAAAAAAAAAAAAAAAAAAAAAAACCCAAAGGGGGGCAGGCTATACAGTGACTGATCACAATGATAGGCAAATCAGAGGCTATCATAGCGATCATGTGACTCAGAATCAGGAGTCCCAGATCTCAATCGTTAAAACGGATCTGGGGCTCTCAGTGACACCTCAGTCTTTGTGCTGGGAGCACGCTATGCGGCGCACTCTCAGCAAAAAGACAGGTATTTATTTATTTCAGGTACTTATATAGCGCCGTCAATTTACGCAGCGCTTTACATACATATTGTACATTCACATCAGTCCCTAACCCTCAAGGGGTGTACAATCTAAAGACCCTAACGTACAATCATATATACACATACTAGGGCCAATTTGGACAGGAGCCAATTAACCTACCAGCATGTCTTTGGAGTGTGGAAGCAAACCGGAGTACCCGGAGGAAACCCACGCAGCCACAGGGAGAACATGCAAACTCCAGGCAGGTGGTGCCATGGTTGGGATTTGAACCAACAACCCTAGTACTGCCAGGCAGAAGTGCTAACAATTTAGCCAATGTGTTGCCCATGCAAACGTGTGGCCCCACAGAATAAACCCCAGTTCTGTGAGGCCGCATATTTGTGTGACATTGGCGCAAAGGGGTTAAGGTTGCCTACTCCAGATCTACAGTACACGTACTAAATTAAAGAGTTGCCAAAACTAACCAAATACTGAGCCTTAGCTACGTTACAGTGTGGAGTGTAGTAAACCCCTTTGCTGTACTTACTTCTGAGTGATCTCATCCCAGTTTTGCTTGACGAAGTTCCAAGCCAAAACAAATCCAGGAACATTCATACTAATGAAGCGAACAACAATTGGAAAATCCTGTGATCTTATAACATCTCCACGAAGACCAGCCTTCATCAACCTGGCGTACAAAAATATGTTAACACTACATTGCAAGCCAATACTTTAAAGATAAAAACGTGGCTGTAATCGTTCAAGGCATGCTAGAAAAAACAGATGTGGTTTATTTAGAAAGCCAAATGCAGAATAAGGGGACCAAGTGACCAGTTCTAATATACCAAGCTTGCAGTCTTCATTGGGAGTTCCTCTCTTGTGGTTAATAAGGATTCAACAGTCAAAAACCAAAAATCCCCCACCTATTTGGGAGTTTGATGTACCAGATTCCCCACCATATAAACAAATGGCTGGCCACAAAGCTGTAAGCTAGATAGCCATAGTCTTTGCATGCTTTACCCAATACTTCTAATCTTCATAGATTTTACCAGATTTCATAGCAGGACCGTCCGTAATCATCATGGTGAACACACACATTGTTTCTATAGGATAAAACAATGCTGCATATGAAGAACCGCTGCATTTAATGACATTTCCTGGTAGATAAAGACAACTTGATGAAACATGACATCAATAATTTCCCACAAATTGCAGCACATCTGGAGTTCATTTGATTTACCAAGGGAAATATTTACACTACTGGAAATGTCAGTTTGCTGATACTTTCACTGGCTGAGCAGAAAGAGTAACGTTCTACAGAAAATCAATTTAAAACCAAATAGACATATTAAATGCAAAGGGAAATCGCGTATTTCTGTCACTGATAAATCATAATTATCTAGTTTGTGAAAAAATTATTCAACAAACAGTGAAATTACTTACTGAATTCTCGGTAAGCTTGTTATACACACAAAAGTTTAGTATAGCTGAGGAATAATCCAGAATGAAATTTAGCCAACATGCCCAAAATAAAAATGTCACTATTGCCTAACCGCAAAAAAAAATGCTGATCAAAAATAAATCTCAGGTGAAAGCTTAGCAACAATCAGAAATATGTAAAGTGGTTCTAAAGGCAGAAAGTTGCATTCTATACATTAAAAGGTAAAAATCTTCTACAAGCAGCTTTCCCCTCAGCCCCTCCCCTAAATACTTACCTGAGCCTGATCTCAATCCAGCGATGTGCACGAGAGCAGAGGCTCTCTGCTCTCTCCTTGCTCACTGGCTCCAAGACAGCAGCTGGAACCATTAGCTCCCATTGTTGTAAATCAGAGCCAGTGTGGAGGGAACGGGGGGCATTCTTATGCTGAGAATTGATTAAGAATTTGAGAGCTTTTTTTTTTTTTTTTGTAATGTTGATTTGGATTTAGTCTGGACTGTGCACCAGGCACCAATAGAGAAGAGCATAGACTTGCTGTGTGGTTGGAGGGGCTGTTTTCCTGTGGTAGTGTACCTACCAATGTTGTAGTACATTCAAGTTAAACAAAAAATCATGAATATTATTAGGGCACAATATTGACATACCAGATTAATTTCTCGCCATGGTCAGTACTTGCAAGAGCTTCCAGCATTTTCATCTTTTCTGCCTCAAATAAGGACATACTGTACTTTGTTAGAAGAAATTCCCATCCTTCATCTATGCGAGCACCAACTTTAAATACAATGCCCATGACCGATGTTGGAAGACTGAGAAAAACAAACATGAGTTGCCTATAAGTAGCAATACTGATGTGTTTCATAAAAGTCAACAATCCCATCAAAGAGGTTTATGACATCCTGAATTTTAACAGCACTTTACTCCTTGCTGGCAGTGAATTACCAAGAATGTGAAGGATTCACATCCCAACCAAACTGGAAAAAAAAGGGATTTTAACCACTTGCCTACCTCACACTTTTACCCCCTTCCTGCCCATGCCAATTTTCACCTTTCAGCGCTCTCATAATTTGAATGGCAATTACTCGGTCATGCGACACTGTACCCAAAATAAATAGTTATAATTTTTTTGGAGACAAATAGAACTTTCTTTTGGTGGTATTTGATCACCACTGGGGTTTTTCATTTTTGCTAAACTAAAAAAAAAAACACTAAATTTTGGAAAAAAAAAAAAATTGTTCTTAGTTTTGGTTATAAAGTTTTGTAAATAAGTAATTTTTCTCCTTCACTGATAGGCTGCACTTATGAGGAGTCACTGAAGGGCACTGTTAGACAGTACTGATGGCCACGGTTCCTCAGCCATGTGAGCAGCTGTATCCGAAGGACACAGCGATCACAAATTGTGCGCAGTGCGTGCCCCAGGGGGCGCGGTTCTGGGAGCACATCCATGGACGCTCCTCCAGAAGTAGCTGACCACACTGTAGCCATCTTTCGGCTATAGCACGGTTGGGAACTGGTTAAGTGTGTAACACAAGTGCTGTATCCGAAGGACACAGCGATCACAAATTGTGCACAGTGCGTGCCCCAGGGGGCGCGGTTCTGGGAGCACATCCATGGATGCTCCTCCAGAAGTAGCTGACCCCACTGTAGCCATCTTTCGGCTATAGCACGGTTGGGAACTGGTTAAGTGTGTAACACATAAGTGCTGTATCCCATGTTTAACAAACTAAGATGTTTCCCACAGTCCTGTTTTGTGGTAATTCTTGGCCCTCTTCACCTTATTTTCTTATGTATGTATATGTATGTGATCTCCTGCAGTCTCTGTCTACATTCATGCACATCAGCGATGCATGGCGTTTCTCATGGCACGTTTAATTTTAGTGAAAACAGTGGACCATGCTTGTGCATTGTGTGTTAGCATCTTGAAGTTTCAATTGCAAGAGAAAATTCTCCAACTCTAAAAAACAATCAGCAGACCAGATCAGAGCATTATCACCCTGTAACAGGAAGCCCTTCAACATGAATCTTCATGACAGGATTACCAAGTATTATTTTAATGAAAGCCAGGATTTTATAAATATTTAAAAATGACTTTTGAAATTACATTAATATTTTAAATGTTATAAGAGATTTTAGGTAATGGGTTTATGTATAATGCAGACATTTAGCCAATCAATAATTACATAGTTTAAAAAAAAATTTTTTTTTAGTCACCCTACATCTTAGTTAATACATAGTAAGGTTAACTTGGGGAAAAAGTCATCCATTGTGTTAACATTTGAGATCCCTAAAAGATGACAGGATAGCTCCCAGGATAAACAAGTTATGGAGGCTCCAAGAAGACAAAAGAGCATTTCAGCTTAATTTCCCTCTAACTTGGTGTTGGGAATTTCCCATAGCCTGTATAAGCGTGGCCATAAACCGCCAGATTCTGCTTTCGATTCAAAAGCCATATGGGACCCTCAAATGAGGCTTAAAACATATAGGGTTACCTTTGTCAGAAATGCTTATATAAGAGAAAAGTCTCTAAATAAAGTATGGAATCTTGGTGTAGGCAAGTGATTCAAACTACAGTTAAGAATTTAAGGACAATTTCAAAGTTTTAGATGCTTTATAGTATAGATGTTTTAGCTGCTTTTACCTGCAGCGCAAAGCCTAACCACCTTACAGAAAGTGTAGTCTTTAATACACTGCCCTGGTACAAGTATGCATATTATTATTATTATAACAAAAGATTTATATAGCGCCAACAGTTTACGCAGCGCGCTTTATAACATGAGGGCAGACAACACGCTTACAAGACAATTCAATACAGTAGGAATCAGATGCCCTGCTCATTAGAACTTACAGTCTAGGAGGAAGGGTCAAGACATACAAGTGGTAATAACTGTGGGAGATGAGCTGATGGGAGAAAATAAAAGTAAATGTTAGGTGGAGGCAAGATAGGTCTCTCTAAAGGGAGGGGTTTTCAGGGATCGTCTAAAAGTGGACAGAGTAGGAGATAGACAGATTGGGGTAGGGAGTTTCATTGGAAGGGAGAGGCTTGGGAGAAGTCCTGGAGGCAGGAAGAGGTGAGCTAGTAAGCAGAAGGTCTTGAGAGGAACTAAGAGAATTATTTGGTTGGTATTTTGAGAATAGATTAGTGATGTAGTAAGGGGCTGAGTTGTGGATGGCTTTGTAAGTTGTTAGTATTTTAAATTTAATTTGTTGGGTGAGTGGAAGCCAGTGGAGGGATTGACAGAGGAGTAGCAGGCACTGAACCATTTGTAAGGTGGATAAGTCTGGCATATCAGGAAAGACAGAAAAATCGTAAACGTCTTTACATGCACACTTTTACTGGGTTTGTAAAAAGAACTAAAGAGAAGTTGTCTTGGAAGGTCTTTGTTGACTGTAGCAACCAGAAGCTTCTTTTTTCAAATACAATACAATTCAGAACAGAGAAGGCAAAAAATTTAATAGGCGACTATGCAACTCTGACAGTCAGAAAATCTTCCCTCACGTTTGAGAAATGAAGTTCTACCAGTCAGGGTAGGGCCAAGCATGTTATTAGCTGTGGCTTGTTGATAAGAAAACAATAGATTAGTTAAAAAAATAATAATAATAATGTTAAAAATGTTTCCTAGCATTCATAAGGGTATATAAAAATCAAGGCTTACGGTGTTCCATTCATCCAATGCTTGAAGAGCTCAGTGGCATTTCCTATGCAGTTCTTCTGTTCAAGGGAGCAAGACAATTTCAAAAGTAATGATCTCAGCTCTTGCTCAGACAAGGATCCTTCATCACTCCACGTCTGTTCCGCTGTAAGATTTTCTAGTAGGTCCACAAGACGTTTCTGTGGTTAAGACATAAGTAAAAGACAAACTTTTTTTCTACTTCACCAAATCTGATTTCAATTACATATCTGGGAGCTAAGTCTCAAAACTACTGGGGAGGTCACTATGGTGTTGGTTTGGTCTACAGAATTTTATACCCATGCTTTTAGCTGTCAATAGAAGATCCATGGGAAAAAAAAAGCAGAGCAGAGCGTGATGGCAAAAAAGCAAGTAGTCTACTGGCTGCCAGATGCATAAAGACTGAATGAATATATAAAAGGAAGAGGCTACAGTACCTACAGTAGGTTTCCCCATATTAATTTTTCCACAAGCACAGTAACATCTACCTGGTTGCCGACGTCAACACCCCCTTTTCATTTACTGGTTTCTTTTATACAGTTGATATGTATAGAGCAGAAGAAAAACAGGCATACCTTCAA